TGCATATTTGTTTAGAGGACACATGGTGCATGAAGCATACCAAGTAATGCTGAGATTAAAACCGATGCCTGATTTCAGATCAGTTTCAAGATGACCTCACTAATGTAAGTGCATTTGTGTGATAGTGTTTGGGCAAATTCCTCCATTCTGCTAACTAAAATGTTCTACCACTATCCTATCAGAGCAAAACAATGCTGGTACACAGCAAGGTGCTCAACCATTATTAAGCAGGAAAATGGTACCTATAAAATCCTTCAATCCTTCCTCACAGAGACAGAAGTAAAATGACACTCTGGAAGCACTTGTGTTAGTAAGATGAAAAATCATCTTGCTAGTTTGGTCCTTGATCTGGTCACAGAATCTGACGCCTTGTGTCCCTTTTGCTATGACAAGAGGTAATGATTGCTCGAGGATGTGGGCTAAAACACTACTTCACCTGAGAACAGGCATCAGCAATCAAGAGGATGGGATGTGATTGCCACTAAGGACTGTGTTCTCAAGAAGACATACAAAAGGCCATGAATCAGCTACCAATAGTAATTGTTTGTTGTTATTTGATCAAAATAAATCAATAAAACAAAATTAGCACAATCCATATTGCCAGAAATGTCTCTGTTATCATCCCGAAGGGTAAATTACCTTACATTCCTTTGAATACCTAATTCAGCATAAATTTGCACTAAGGGACGTTAGCACGTTCAGGTGACTGTGATTTTATGTGTTTTCCTAGATGGAAGTTGCCCAGTGAATATGTTTCTTTATGGTTGGTTCTTATGACAAAATTAGTTTGGGGCTGTCTTTTCTCTGAATGGAGGTTCTTTTCCTATTGAATACCATTTCTCAAAAGTATTTTTCCCAATCAGCTCAATATTTAAACAGGTTTAAATTTTATATCTCACTGTACAAATCCACTTAGATTTTTAAATTACAGTAATACTTCACCAGGTTTCATTTTTAAGGCAGTGCAATATGTATAATTCATTCCATGAATCTTAGATAAGGTTGATATTATGATACAGTGCGATTTGCTGCCTTGCAATGAAGCTTCACAGCTAAGGTGAGTTCTTCCACTTCAGGCTGTAGCTTTATAACAAATGGTTTTAAAAGAAATAAGAATGAAAAATGAGAAATTAAGTGTTCCCATAGCTGGAGAGCTCCACAACCAATGGCTCTTTTAGCACTTTTTCATGGAGTGCTTTTGGCAAAGTACTGCTCCACCTTACAGTTTCCTTGGGGCATTGATGACCACCAAAAGATTAAAGCAAATAGGCAAAAGTTTTCAAAAGCAATGATTAGATTTCACTACTTCAACAGTTGGGTCTCAAATGTAATGTATTTAAAGATGGTCTTTTTTTTTTTCCAGTTTAGTATTTCTTGCTCCTAAAGCTACCAGACAAAACCAGTAAGAAATACAGAAGGGCTTGAGCTCCAAATAAGCCCATGAACTATAAATGTATGCAGACACTCCAGGCTTAGTTACTGCAACAATGCCCACTACAGCTCTCTTTTGATTGTTGCTGCAACACTGACCCCAGTGAGTACCATCAGAGGGTTTGCTGAAGTTTCCCAGTATCCCAATAACAACAAGTGCTTGCAACCCCCTTTTATAACCAGTCAGCAACGAAAATTACTCAAGCCAGGCACCTAAAAATGGAGATACCCCAAATAACAAATTAATCATGACCCTGGACCAGCCGGGTGCTGCTTGTATGACAGCAGTTGATTCAGGAGCCAGATGGCAAATGAACTGTATACTGTTATATGATGATGGAAAATCATTCAGGATCCAGATGGAGGTAGATTGCCAGTTTGACAGTCTTAATGTAGGCTACTTAGTGCCTATTTTCCAACAGTGGCATAGTTATCTCCAATACTTATGAAGATTTTTGCAGCAGTGAGTGTATACTTTGTGATGGCCTAAGGAAGTAAGAATGCATTACTGTTAAGGTGGACAGCTGCCAACACTTCAGCATTACTCAGGTTTGTCAAGCCTTGGTTCTGACCTGCCCTAGCAAAGCTGTTACGATCAGCACTAGCTACATTTTTGCTGGTAAACATTCACAAGATTTATTAGCCTAGACACAAGTTGTGAGCATAGCTTCTAAAGCTTTCCGGCAGTAGCAATCTGGAAAAATTGATGTTTACACAGAAATCCTGTATCGTTCATAATTTGAAGATGCTGCTGCCATGGTGTATTTCTGTCACTTTGCCCAGAATCAAATCTCTTAGTGATAACCACAGAGGGATAGGAATATGCAACTCATCATGGAGAGGTGAAATCAACTGAATACAGAAATACTTGGTTGGCAAAGAAAGGATGGGTATTGGAGGAATTATTAAACAGATACTCTATATTCACCTTCAAAGATATTACTGGAAACACTTCTCTTTCCTATATGGTTCTCATTTTTATAACGAAGACCACTTGAAAATTACCAAAATGGGTATCTGTTTGAAAGATTCTGCCTTTCCTTGTTTTTCTGCAGTAAACAGAAAAAAACATTTATGGTATGGTGACATTAAAACAGGCATGACCAACATCCAAAAACCAGCAAACAGAAATTTAGTACACTTTTACAAGAAATGTAGGCATAATCTTTAAAAGCTATGCTTCTGCTTTGCTTTTCTTGTATAAAGAAAGCCTGAAAGGTTGTATATATTTTTAAGAATGAGCTGATTTCAACTTGGTTTTTACATCAGCAATATCAGGACTGGCAGCTCTCTTCTGTAGTTTCATAGAAAGCCTTGCAGCATGTTGATCATTGCATCTGTACTGAATCTTTAATACTAGAAGTTGGTGTTCTTATGAGAAAAAAACAAATGGCAAATAGTTTTGAATAAGCTGAGGATAAACATCTTCACCTGTTGATTTCCCATCACAGGATAAAAGCCTTGTGATTTTTATACTGTGGTGATTTTGGTAACTTCAGTAACTGCAGTTTTCCTGAGATGAAGGTATCTGAAATTTTAACATTTGGAAAAACTGTGGTTGGAAGTAGGGTTACTCTTTAAAAAAAAAGCAAACATTTTTTCAGACCCTTTTATATCGTACAAAGAATGCAAAATATACATCATTGTGCATTTTTTCTACCTCCAATAGCCTAGTAACATACCAAAGAGGAAGCTCCTTGATAAAGCAATTGTTTGTTAGTTCCCTTCTTTTGGTTATTGGCTAAGAGTTTCTTCTCTAAGCAGTATTTCCAAGAGACTCACCTCTTATCCATCTTCTCTCAAGCAAAAATAGGAGGATTAATACTGCGCACATTGCAAACACCAGAAGACAAGCAACTACTTAAACATCTTTGCACATAATGGAAAGTGTCGGAGGCCTTCTTCTTTACTCATTTTTCAGAGCATCTCTAGTTTCAGCTCCATTCCTAAGAAATCTACTAATTATTAGATTCTGTTGGCAAAGCGGTAGGTTAAATGTATCCAAAAGGCTTTTGGACAAAGTAGAGTTCTTTGCTATGAAATAGTCCAGTGATAAGATTGGCATAATGAACTGAGCAAATGAACCTGAAATGTAAACCCCAACCTTATTTTCTAGTACCCCCAGTCTGAAAAAGTCAGTCCTAAAAAGTACGTTCTCAGCTCACCTCCTGTGTTATGTTGCCAATACACTGATGCCTACTTGCATTTACTGTGTGTGTTCTTCTGGTTGCAAAGTTTTTCCAGACAGCATTTAAACTTTTTGAACATACATAAATTAAGTTTTATAACTTAGACCTAATAGTCACTATAAAATCTGGAGGTAATAAAATATAGGCAACCATAAAAGCAGGTTTTTTATCTTGATTGCGATGAAGTTACAGCTTGCTTTTATGATTAATCTTTTAGAGGTTGTAAAGCACACAGATTATATGACATATGAACCCACAACAGGTACCACGTAGCAGCAATCTAATACACATCACCAGAATGAATTTAGCAGAAATTATTTCCTGTTAACTAATAAATGCCACAAACACATACTTTGTACAAAGTGTTGCTACATATGTCAGAGCACACTGTCAAGTAATTTGGGGATTTGGATTGGATTTAGGGAATAAAGGAATGTGAAAGAGAGAGTGCCAGGCGATCCAAATCTGAAGATGCACAAGAGATTTTAATGCATGTTTTTAGTTATATTTTCCATTTAAATGATCCTAAAAATACTGCATTTCAGTTTGCAACACCCTGTGCTAGTGCAAGAGAATGAGAAAGTGCAATGGACTGTGAAGAGGTGAAACTCTGTTGTTTGAATTTAGAAAAGACAGCATAGGCAATAAGCAGCTTGCTGGGTGCATACAGCACACCTGGCTGCTGTAAGAAGCTTGTGATAGAATAGATTTTAAACATTAAGTGGAAGTTAATAATGTTCCAATTACATTAATGTAAATAAAAGTACTCAAAAATTAAGTGACATGAATAGAAATGCCTTAAGTTTTCACCCCACCATGATTTTCATTCCTTTGACTCCCCTCCTTGTTCAGATCATTCAAATTACAAATAAGCTCAGTAGAGAGTTTTCTAGTAAGTAGTGATGTATGTTGATTTGATTTGCCTAGACTGTTTTGTCTAGTAAGCATAGCTTGTTTTAATAACAATGCTCTTGCCAGAATCTGCAGGTATTTAGAAGTGTATTAGTTCTAAGGTTTTCTAAAAAATGCAGTCCATGAAGATATCTGGGCGTAAGCTTGAACTGGCAAAATCTGCAAATTTTCAGATTTGCTGTTGCTGTTATTTGAGGCTCTGTGTGTACCTGGGAGCTCAGTAAGATAACAAGAGGCACTAGCCTGATCCTGCAAACCCTCATTCACTGTGAGAAACAATAGCAAATACTCTGAATCAGCAGATGTTAACATGCATTTTCCTCAAGTTTGTGCATTCAAAGGACCCTTTCCCAAAATTATTTTCACTACTGCATTTAAGGTATTCCACTGTGTCTGTTATTTCTCTGGTACTTAGGAGATAGTATAAACCCAACACCCGAGGAGGAAGCAAGACAAGAGACACTTTACCTGGCCTGTGGGCCTCTGGCCATCTTCAGCTTTCTTCTTTGTCATTCCTCTGGGGATTCCTCAGAAAGATGCATCACCACCATCAAACATAAAAGGAAAAAGTGCCTATCCCATTTCAGCTGTCTGCTCACAGCACAAGGTTGCATAGGACCAGGCCATGTAGGGATGCAAAGCTGCAGGCCTCCCATGCTGCTGCAGGAATTCAAGCGTCCTCTTTGTGTGGCATCTTGCAGTGTGCAGGTGATAGCAAGGGGCTGCAGTGACTGTGACCCCGCAGCTGGACAAAGTGCCGATGTGTGAAAGTCTCTCACTTGCACCCCAGCACAGCTCAGTCATCATGGCTTCTAGGATTGGGGCTTTCCAAACCAGGCCGGGAATGCTGCCCAGGGCTCTGCTCCCCTCATGTGGGGACACCATTGTGACATGCCCCTTTGGCGGAACTGCTGCCACCTCGCAGCCTCTCTGGGCAGCAGTTGACAAACACTAACATTTCTCACCTTTTGCTGTGCTGGCTGCTTTGGCTTTCTCTCAAGCTGCTCCACCCCAACATGGGATACAAACACACAGTTCACCTGGCAGCCAGGCAGCCAGTTACCTTAGGCCCCCCAGGTAAGCACCCTTTCCCATCTCCTGAGGGGCTGTTGGGAAGTGCTTGGCACCACAGAGAGGGCGGTGAAGAGGTGACTGTGTTTTGCTGAGGAGATGGCAGCCAGTGCCAAGCTGAGGAGAGGGATGTCTGTGCTCTGCTGAGATGGCTGACAGTACTTGCTGAGGAGATGGGTGCCTGTGCCCTGCTGAGGAGATGGCAGCCAGTGCCAAGCTGAGGAGAGGGATGTCTGTGCTCTGCTGAGATGGCTGACAGTACTTGCTGAGGAGATGGGTGCCTGTGCCCTGCTGAGGAGATGGCTGCCAGTGCCAGCTGAGGAAATAACTGCCGGTGCCATACTGTGGGGGTAGGGCTTGTGCTCTGTTGAGGACATTAGTGCCAGTGCCTGCTAAGGAGGTGGTCTCTGGTGCTTGCCTGGGAGATGTGTGGTGCCTCACCTATGAGGAAAGGATGTTTTCTTCCATGAGGAGGTTGAAATGCCCCTGCTGACAAAATGGTTGCCAGTACCCTGCTGACAAGATGGCTGCCAGAGCCCTGCGGAGGAAGTGGTCTTAGGTGCCTGCTGAGGTGATGGGATGCTGCCTTGCTGAACAAAAATGAGTGTCAGTGACTCTCTAAGGAGATGGATGCCAACATCCTTCTGAGGAAATGGCTGCCAGAGCCTTCTGGGCAAATGGGTGCCTGTGCTTGCTGAGGAGATGGTGGTTGGTGCCTGCCAAGGAGATGGTCACTGCTTGCTGAGGAAATGGATGCTAATGCCCTTATGAGGAGATGGCTGCTGGTGCTGGATTGCTACTGGTGCAGCAGGAAGAATTAGGCAACTCCTGGGTGGTGTGTGGCAGCCTCAGGGGGCCCTCGGGTGGTCCAAATGGCAACCATCTTTGGGGGGTCCTTCAGGGGTAAAACTGATCTACACAAGCCCTTTATGTTCACCATATTGACAAAATGAAGAGAAACTTTTGTTTGTTGCTTTGCTGTGGGTTTCAACAGTCCATTTTAGTAGCATTATAAACCCTTCACAAAGCAATGAGCAACTATATGGAGAAAAGTATTGGAGCGATCTCACAGCCTACATAGACCACAATGCACTATTTACCAGTACAGGAAAGGCAATGGTGATAAGCCATGCCAAACAGGGATGGCTGCTTTCTTCAGACTGTGATTTACAGGAAGTAGTTGAACTATTTGAAGTGATTAACCTATTTAATGAATTGAGTTTCATACTCACTTTTCAAATTGTCATTGAGTATGCTCAGAGTTTTGTAAACATACTTGCAATTATTTCAGAAGTGGCTGATAAGAGTTGTCACCCAAAGTTTCTCATTAATTGTTTGCTGCTCTGCTTTGAAAGCAGACTGTTGTACTCTGTCTGTGTGCTTCATTACTCAAGTCTTATGACGTTTGCCTTGAGCTCTTGGGCCCCTTTTTCAGCTTGCTGCTTGAACACTTCTTCCACAAATATCCATGTGACTACAATACATCCATGTACACATGGAGATATAAGCCATGCTTTAGCGTTTTTAATTTTTTTTTCTTTTTAGTTATAAAGCAGCTAGTGTGAATGTTTGCAGAATAATAAAAGAATATCTGGATGGAAATGGAACTACCATTAAAAATAAGCCCATTTTTTCAAACACACATCTTCCACCTTTCTTCTCCAGCTTTCATTCAAGTACAGAGGTATTAGATACTTGACCCTGCTCTATCCAGAAATAATACTGACAGCGTTAAATAGATGCACTTCTACCATTCAGCTGTGTGATCCAAATGTTTTTCATCAATGTAATTTGATGGGCTGCTTGAAGAGGCTGCGGAGCTCCTCCCTGTGCCAGTACCACAGGGTTCTGGGCATGACTCTTTGGGAGCAGGGAAAGAGCATGCTATAGATGCCATTGTTTCTCCTCCATGGGCTAATAACTTCAATTTGCATGTGACAAGCCATACTGTAAGATTCTGGGGTCTGCTGTTTTCATTACACTCTGAACAAGTCACAGAATATCTAGAGTCCTTCATCATCGCTCTCTGTGTTTATATATATATATATATATATATAAATAAGAAACAGACAATTCCTTTCGATTAACTGTAGCTCCCAGATTGCAGATATGTTTTTCAATACTCATTTCCTTTCCCAAACACTTTTTCTTTCAGAAATTAAAAGCATATGAATCCAAAAGTATCTCAGAGAAGCAGCCAAAAATCAGGTCAGAGGCAGACTCAGATGTTAGAGTCTCTATTACCACTGTTGTTTGAGTCCAGGAGATAAAAATCTGGCTAAGTGGCTTTGCATTCTCCAACTTCAAAGAGTGGTGTTAAAATGTAGCACAATTCTTAGGATTCTTGAGCAAAACAAGGTTGTGTCTACTTCCTCTGCTTTAACTCTTCGAAGTCCTGGAGTCTTTGAGGTGTGGTATCTTATTTTACTGGTTGCTTTATAGTGAGGAAAAAGGGGTTGTGTTGTTGGAGTTAAATATCACTTAAGAACTTCAAAGCTGCTCCTTTGAGAGGAGGGTCTTTGACTTTACATCAGGGTGGAGGACACACATGGAAAGGGTTACCATGAGAAACAGTCTTTCCCAGCTGCTGCCTGTCTTAAATTACTGTAGCAGCAGCAGTCACAGTTACTTACTTATGCCAAACAATGTTTTTTGGCATATTTCAGCCTGCTCAGTTCCTTGCAGGAATTCCCACAAGGGTGGAAGGGATTTCCAGCTTGTTGAAACCTCTTTTAAACAATTTGAGATGGCTCTGGCAGTTTCTATAGCTTAAGTCAAGACTGGAAAATGGACTTCCAAAGTCTACAGCCATATTAAGTATGAAAAGGGACTTGCCTGAGCTTGTGTAAACAGTTGTCTCCACACTTTGAGTAATTCTCTTCTTTTTCTGAAATGATAGATACCCACCTCTTGCATCAGATGTCTGTGTGGCTTAAATAATGTGTAGTCATTGTTCTTTTATCTTTTATTTATCATTGTCAATATTGTTATGCCAACAAATAATTTTGGATTTTTCTTTACTTCAGTCTTGCTATTTTTCACAAGCTCACTAGACAGGTAGGACAAAAAGAAAAGCCCAAGTCCTGCTCCTCTTTGCTCTAACAGCTTAGCAATGGAAATGTATTTTAATTATATTCAGCTCCTGCATAAAAGGCTTAGTCACTCAAAATTAATAAGGCATAATGGCTTCCCGCCCCACAGAGTGCTCAACCTGCCATGCAGCTCCTGCTCTGAGGCAGCCGTGTGATGGACAGAGTGGGGAAAGGAGCAGCAAGAGTGGCTTTGAGGATAATTGTTAGCAGATTTGAGAGCCTTAGATTTCACTTGCTTCTTTGAAAACAACCAGGGCCCCTTTTACAGCATTCAGGGAAATTTCTAAAAGATCAGCCTCTTGCTCCAAACAATTATTAGTACCATGTCTTCATTATGTTAGCTGTAATGACAGTTATGGTTCTCTTTGATCTTCTGGTGCATGGCCTGGCCTGTCAGATGGCACCAGCCTGCAGCTGGATGCCTAGGCAGGCAACAGTCTGCTCTGTGATTCCTGTAGACTTGCTAGTCTAGTTTGGATCAAAACCTGAATAGAAAGAGGCAGGTTCCCTCCAGTCTTTTAGACTCTTACTGTAGAGGTACTATAGCTCTGCCTGCTCACTGCAGGCCCACTGCAGCCCAGAAGAGGCTGGGTAGACGAAGAGGTACATCCAGCAGTTGCCCATGGCAACTGTAATCTTATGGTTTTGCTATATTGCAGTCCTCTGTAAAACTAAATGCTGATGGCTCCAGCTTTTGATGAAAGTTGGGCGGGGTGGAGATATCATTTACTGTGGGATGGAAAGAAATGGGAATGGCAGAATGGGTTCTAACAGCAGCAGTTTTTGCTGCCCCAGCTCCACTGCAGCTAGCAGCAATGGGAACAGCAAACCCAGATCCGCAGGATTTTTCTATCTGGCTTGACTATCTTACTTCAGCTGCCTAAGAGCATCCTAAACCTGGCTGTCTGTCCTTGGGTTGGGAGGTTTCAATTTTACCTGTGTTAGAGGGTAGCCTTGATTTGGCTCTTGACTCAGCCTTTTGATGAACTGGTTTTCCTTCTAGTTCAGGCATCTGATGTGAAATTTAGTTAAACTACTATGTCTGACTACTCTCTCACTTTCACTCTTAATCCTGAAAGGAAACAGGAGGAAATTGCTCTTAGAGTGTACAAGTCAGGAACCACTGTGGGAAGTTGTTTTGGCTGGATTTCAGAAGTCCAGAATAGATAATCAGGGTAAGCCTGTTAGAAATCTATGAAACATCATGGTGGAGGTACTGGAAATGGGTTAAAGTTAAATCCTAGCGAAGTCTATTTCTTTTTTGATTTCATTTTTTTTATTTTTTGCTAAGTAAACTCTTTCTTGATTACAGTAAATGCCTTCTTAAGGGATCAAAAGAATGATTTTAAAGGACACTGCTTACTCACAAAATTCATTATGGTAATGCTTCATCATACTTTGCCAAGCTGCTCTCTCTTTGATCTGCTGCTGCGGCCTTTTGCCTGTTTCTGCAGTTAATCTACATTTTGTTGGTGTCAGGTTTTTTTCAGCTTTTGCATCTCTGTTTTATTTAATATGGTAGTAACCCTATGGAATTACAAAATCTACTTCTGAAGTTGATTTCAGTTTGAGATATTAAAAATTTGTCTATTATGAAAAATAAGGAGCTCTTGATTAATTATTGATAAGGACATTTACCATTTTTTTAATCTAATAGTGTAACCTACTAAATGTTGCTTCCTGCAATGTAGCATGCTACTCTCATCTTGAGCTGGGATTTATTTGTATATTTT